TTTTAGAGGGTAGGTTGGCTTTTCGGGGTCACGATGAATCAACTACTTCAAAGCATTCAGGTAAATATTTATTACATTATATATTGTATTATTTGTTTCATTATCAATTTATAATGACTATTGTATAATTTATATTTATAAGTAATTTTCTGGAACTCTTTAAATGAAAGTGTAGACGACATCCATATATAAATATAGTAATGAACTCAAACACTCTCAGGAATAGTCAACTAACCTCTCCTAAAATTCAAAAGGAAATTATTAATGTTTGTGTAACTGAGATAAGACAAGCTATTACTAATGAGATCGGTAACAAGTTTTTTCTCTATTGATTGATGAGACTCGGGATAGTTCAATAAAGGAGCAAATGTATGTAGTTTGAAGATTTGTTAAAAATGTGGGGAGGTGATTGAGCAATTTCTGGGAGTCGTGCATGTCAGTAACAGCACAGACATTGAAATATGCCATTGCTGATTTTTTTGGCAAAATATAGTCTTTCATTGTCTAAGGTTCGAGGTCAAGGTTATGATGGGGCTTCTAATATGAACGGCGGGATTAAAGGCTTAAAACAAAAAAGTTGGGGGAAAATAAGCAAGAACATTATGTCCATTGTTTTGATCATCACCTTCAGTTAGTGATTGTGTCCATTTTGAAGAATAATGGAATAGTTGATAGTTTTTTTATCATCTTGTCATGATTATTAATGTGGTTGGTGCGTCATGTAAAAGAAAAAATGATTTTTTGCAAAAACATTATAATGAACCTCTAGGTCGTATTGAACGTGGTGAGGTTAGCACGGGGAAGGGGCAAATCAAGAAAAAAGTCTAGCACGATCAGATAATACTCGTTGTGGCTCTCATTATAAAATAATCACTAGCGTTGAAAATATGTGGGATGTTGTGATTGAGGTGCTTAAAGTTATATTTGATGATGGTGTTGATCTCAAAAGTAAGTCAACTTATTTTAGTTGGATTGAAAAAATGGCAACCTATGATTTTGGGTTAATCCATCGTTTCAAGTTCAATTATTGAGGAAAAACTAATGTGTTATCAAAGAAATTGCAACAAAAGAATCAAAACATAGGCAATGGTGTGGATATTGTCAAGGCCATGAAGACCGATTTAAAGAATAATAGGAATAATTATGGTTGGGAATTGTCGGTTGAATAAGTAACTACATTTTGTTCAAAGCTTGATATTGATGTACCTAATATGAAGGATGTAATGTCAGGTCGAGTGAAAAGACATACGACAACTCATGGTAACTCAAAAACTTATTAACACTATTTTCATGTTACAATTTTCTCAAGGTACTTTTTAGACATTAATTCCTTATTTAGTTGTATTTAAATTTATTTATTTCGCCGTTGTAACTCATTATGTTTTTTAAACATAACGTTAGATTATTGATCATCTTATTCAAGAGATGAAGAATTGCTTACCTGAGACAAGTTCGGAGCTACTAATGTGCATAATGTTATTAAGTCCTGAAGACTCATTCTCCGATTATGAAATGTAGCGACTACTTCGACTTGCTGAATTATACCCTGGTGATTTTAGCTCAATAGAAAAATTTGAACTAAATGAACAACTTAGGGTGTTTATTACATTTGTCAAATCATCTCCACACTTCTTGGGGCTACAAACTATGGGAGATTTGGCAAAAAGAATGGCACACAACTTATAAGTTAGTGTACTGACTCATTCAGTTGGCATTGGTTTTACCTGTTACAACAGTCACAGTTGAAAGATCTTTCTCGACAATGAAGTTCAATGATTTGTGTAATAAGATTGGACAAGAACATATGACAGATTGCTTGGTGTGTTACATTGAGAAAGATGTTTTGTTAAAATTGAGAATGAAGTTATTATGAGGTAATTTCAGAGTATGGCGCCTTGAAGACAAAGATTGCCACCCTCACTGCTGAAATATTTGTTAAATGTCATGTTAGGCAAGTAGGTTGCCTGATCGCGCACCTCTAAGTCCAACGCATCTCATAAGTGGCTCATCATTCAATTTGTGTTGCAAGCAACTCGAGTATAAATTCAGCAAGTATTTGAAATTTATGTTCCAATTGCTTCGTTGTATATTCACCACATGGTTCAAAATTGTATTCTCTCTCCTCTTCAAGTTTACCTCGAAGGATGAGTAACATTGTCCCACATAACAACCTCATTAAGTCATTATATTTCCCCTTGACGTCGTCTCACCATTTCGACTCTATTCCTTCTAATAGTCTTGTCGTGACTCTCATTTTTACATTAATTGCATGTTAAGGTCCGCTTTGTTCACTCTTCACCCACTCAGTTGTGATAGAAATGTCTCTTGTTCCATCAAAACAGTTTGCATCATAAAGTGTTGCTTCTTTGAGGTTGATATTATTATGATTGAAATTTCGATACCTTTGCGGGCTTTGCCTGCATGTGGCTCAACGTGTGCCCTAGAAGCACAAAGGTTTCCTCTTCCTGAAGCCCCTTCTGAAGTACGTCTTGCCCGGCGCCTTTTACATTACCTTTCCCTTATCTCACGTTCACTCTGGTAGCTTTGGAGTAACTCTTCTATCCTCCCCAATGTTCCTTTTGAAAGAACAAATTTTGATACTTCATTATAACGTTTACGCACTAAGTCTCTCGTACCAATTAAATTGTCACACCTTGAACCTCCCTAGACACAACAACAATCATCGTACAATCCGGATAATTCAACCACAGTCAACATTACTCGAATCATACAAGGCATCCATGAATATCATTCACACAAGTACATCTATGACAAACATAGGTAAAGCAATTCAATACGTAGCGAGAAAAAAAGTGTTTAAAAACACACGGGGCGCACGAGCACGCGGGCTACCAAAAGATTTAAAGTGAAAAGATGTACATGAGCATGTTCATTATAGTTTCAAAATAGAATGGAGGAAGCACGAACCAAATCTTCACTCTGAATGGATCACCCACGCAATGGGCAAGGGTAGTAAGCCCCAGTTTCAACTTAAAATGGTGAGATACCTCCGAAGGAGTCACTGGTTACTTCAAACTTTAAAGTATTGGTGATATTATAATCTAGGATGTAACCCCTAGTTGCCCCGTTTTAAAACATACTTATTTATACAAAGTCAAATAGTCGGGTCGTGGGCCCATTTATATATAAATCATTTCTTAGTTACAACTCGTAGGTTTGCATAACCTAAATGGTATTAACCATCCTATGGGCCCATCCTCACTGTCGAAACTCCATAGTCTTCAGGGCAAAACCCGACTATCTCACCTAACAACAATTCATACGGCGGCCGTCATTGCAAGTCCAACACCTCACAGGTTCTTGAGTCAATGCCCGGCTGCCTTGGCCCTAGACTCGTATCCTTTTTCACGTAGGAGGTAGGGTCTATTGGGATCCTAAACAATATAACCGCTTGTCCAAAGCCACGTATGGTCATTGGTTTGGGGTTCATTCTCTATATGTGATCACGTTGGTAAGTCCATGCAATCCGGTGGCACTCTCTCAAGACGGCCCGGGCCATAATCCTTACCTCTAACCTTGTGAGTCCATACAAGTCTGACACCACTCCTTAGACAAGGTTGGGTCATAGCCCCTACTCTAACATTGAAACACATTTGGGTATCGACTATCGAAAGGATTACTCACGAACTACATCACACATTGAAACCTTAGGATCAATTCCAACAATTGATCCTTAAAACTACTCAGGTTGTTCTTTCCCAAATCAAATCTCCATTTCGTGTATGCTCCAACCAATTGAGAAATACATGGCAGCCATACCACGGATCATTTTCATTGCATAAAATATCCATTTCCCAATCCACACATTCCATACATGAGCTAAATATCCGTATCTCAACGCAATAATTTAATTAAAAATCAAGTGATTGATAGTGAATGGTCAAAACAGCTAACAAAATCCGCTGATAGAATTGACTATCGATTAACAACTACCGTTGATTGTCAAACACCCCCAATATAAAAATGGCTCCATAAAAAATATTGTTAAGGCTATATCTTGGTGGGCGTGAATTGTAATTAGTTTTATTAACATTCAAATTAATGGTCATTATCATGTATGATTGCCACCTCGCTCTTCTTTGAGTTCAGATAAGCCTGTAACATGTCATGTTGCTTAATATATGCTCCTACCTATGGTGGATAGTTTGAATATTTTGTATTATGAACATGAAACCATGGCCTGAATGATTTTTTTTCTAAGAGGTAAATAGTAGAGTTAGAACGGATGTTGCATTTGGTTCACCGGAGTAAAGAAGGAATTAGTCATTTAGAAAACTATATAAATTAATAGTAAAAATATTATTTAATACTCCCTACGCATTTCGTGGTTTAACTGATTAAAAAGTCAAACAAAATCTTATGCTGAAGTAAAAATTAAAATCATATATTTAGAAGAGCAGGAATTTAATTGGAATATGATAAAATTTTGAAACGTAAAAATTAAAGGTAGTGTGTAGTATAACTTTTCAGGTGTATTTTTAAGAAGTGATCGATAATTATAGTAACAACCATGTATATCACATTAATTTAAAAAGGCAAAGAAAAGGAAACAAATTAATCCTTCAAGATACCACAAAGTGGGGGAATGAGATATGAGGAGTTTGGGGGAGTCAGTAGCTCCTCTGCCCCCCACCCACCTCCCTCCTAACTCAAAACACTCGTACATTTTCATCCCCTTCTTTCCAAAGCCCTACAACCAAACATAATCTACATTCTCTAGTAATATGAAGGGTATAAGATTTCTAGACCACCTTTCCCTCGCTATTTTGCAAAGAGGGGAATTCAAATCCTAGATTCCTAGACCTCCAAGATGCACACACAGAGACTCAATAATACAATCTAAAAAAGATGCTCCGTAAGTTTTAATATGAAATCCAACAAAAACTTCACAAACTCCAATACACAAAGATAATGTAATCAAATTTGACTCATGGGTCCAATTAGTTGAAGAAACATCTTTAGCATATGTCAAACATTACCTTCTCAAAGCCTTGAGGTCCACCATAGTACGGGTCGGGCACCTCAGTCTCATTATGCTTTTCACAGTAAGAACACATTAATTGAACCTTCAAGATGATCCACGATAGCACATAATATTTTAATGAACCAAAAGAATGGAAGGAAATATACGCAGCAGAAATTTCAATCTTAAGTTTCATCACACAAAAAAAGTTGCATTGTACCTTCGCATGTGAGTCTGCTGATAATCCCTCACTTTTGCTCCACTTCTTAAATTCCTCTAGTATATTGCCTAAACAAAAACAGATTCAGTAACCTATTCAGTTTCAGTAACAAGGGTCCAAACAAATTCAGGAAGAATTGATTTGCTTGATCATAGAGTGATCAGGACGCTCCTAGCAATTTATGCAGTTTCTCCCAAAACGAACAAATCCGTGATGTGATCATGGTTTTAAAAGGCGCTTAAGAGGCAGGTTTTGAGGCGCGCCTCACCTTGAGGCGCACATATTGGGCATCAGGGATTAGGTTTTTTTCGCAGGTTAAGAGGCTCACGCCTCAAAAGTTGAGGAGTACGCCTTGAGGCGCCCTGAGGCGTTTGTTGAGGCGTTTTTGCTTTGTTTATACGTTTTTAATGTGCAGTAGCAATATAGAGTTTCTATGTTTGCTTTGTGAGATTTAATAAAAATCTCAGAGTACTTTTTAAATAGAAGTCCATTAATTAAACATGTGGCCACACTAAACAAGTCTTATTTCATTTAAACCTTAACAGGTCTTTTATTCATTTAAACCCCAAGTCCCTAAAGTATACTTTCTATCCATCTAAGTTTAGGTGTGATGTTTCTGTGTGTGATATGTCTGTTTGTGTGTGATGTTTTTGTGTGTGATATGTCTGTTTGTGTGTGATGTTTCTACTGTGTGTTTGAATTCTAATGACTTACTAGTAATAGCTCATATGTGTTTGTGTTTCACACTTTTTGGACTTATAATTATGGATATATCCTTTATAACTATCTTTAATTGCTTGTTACTTGTTTAACTATTTTAACTTGTATATGTCTATATATTTTGAGGCGTACGCCTCAATACGCCTCAAGGATTATGCCTCGCCTCTTAGGAACAAACTGCCTTGATACCCGAACCGCCTTTTTAAACCTTGGATGTGATCACATTTAACCTTGCTATTCAGTGTAAGAAAGTGGAGTTACAATAAAACAAAACTCACTCTTATTGTGCTCATCCATAGCAATGATAAGATTGAAATCCTTGAAATCAGAGTGCCTAATCGGCCTAGAGATAGAAGTTATTTCAATTCCACGCCTTTTAGCTGCAGCCCTCATTCTTGAATCTGCTTGTGAACCCTAGCAGAATCGACCAAACATTCCCCGTTGTCAATTCATTAATCGCAATTCACACACACAAAACACCATACCTCGTGGTAATTGATAGTTCCAGCAGAATCAATGTAGAACCTAGATTCAAGGCTTCTTTTCTTCACCAAATCCCTGAACACAGCCTCGGCAGCTGGGCTTCTGCAGATGTTTCCTAGGCAGACAAAGAGAACTGAAAATGGCTTGGTTGGTTCTTCAGCCCCTGCATATGTGCCTGATGACTGAGAAGATGCCATTAAGGCCGCTTTGGTTAAAGGTCCTCTCTGAGTCTGCGGTAAACTTCGAAGGGAAGGGAATCTTGAAGGTAGGAGATTGCTCCGAAGCGGAGGACCGAAATGATGGAGAGGGTTTGGTACCTTCAAGGATTCGGGTATGGGCATGCGGACTTTACTAGTACTGTGCAATGTCCTCATTATCAAGGGTTGCTAGTTTACTTAGATGACAAATTGCCTATACAGTGAGAAATGAGTATAGGATAAATCTTAAATGTACGATTACTAACTCCGTTCCACCGCCTGTACTACCTCCCGCCGCCTGTACTAAACAAGTCTTATTTCATTTCTTCACAAAAAATAAAATATAGTACAACTCCATTGAAAAAATAAAAAAATATGGATGCCTTTCCCACCGCCTGTACTACCTCCCTGCACCACCACCTCCGGCCGGCGAAAAAAAAATCATTTTTCCTAAAAACTGCCATTTTTTCTGAAAATGCCAAAAAATGGCATATTTCTCTTTGGGAATGCCAACATTTTCATTGTTTTCTGCCATAAATATGGCATTTGTAATGAATTTGGCATTTTTTCCCAGGTCACTAGAGGTGGTGGTGCTGAGGCGGCAGAGGCGGCGGTGAATTTGTTTTTTTTTTGTTTTTAAATTTTTGTTTTTGAACAAAAGTTTTTAAATTTTTGTTAAAAAAAATTTAAATTTGTTTTTAAAAAATGTTATTATCGAAAATATTTTTATTAATTTTTTTTCGTATTTTTTTACGAATTTTTTATTATTTTTTATTATGAATTAAAACATTTCAATAGCTATAAGGGTATATTTGTCCAAGACACACATAATTAGTCATATGAAAACATAGTTTATTTTTTGGTCCTATTTTTGCAAAGTGAGTGACTTTTAGTCCTATTTTGATAATTAACTCTAAAATTTATTTATATGTTTTAAGGTTTTTATTATTTAATTTTTGAGTGTTTACTTTTAAAAAGAGTTGATGCATGTATATATCGGGATACATGTATCCTAATTTTTAAAATATTTAATAAAAAAGTTAGAAACTTTTAATAAATTATAGATACGACCCGAGAACGTACAGTACAGATATCCTAGAGTATCTGATCTGTGATACAGAGACGTTTTCGATACGTGGATGCACTACACTGGTAAAGTTTCTGTGCTACATAGCAAATGAATTATCTAAGGGAAGTATGGCGGCCGGCGTTGATTCGCATTTCAAGGGAAGGTCGAAGTCCGTCATCATGATGTGGTTGGCCGTTCGATCGGATCAGCATGTTTTCCGGCTTGAGAAGGCACCACCAAATTAAAGCATAGAAATCAGATGTCTGCTATAAACTTTAGCTATTATTACCACACTAATATTTAGAGCTGTTAACGAGCCGAGCCGAGCCCGAACACCCAAAGCTCGAGTTCGGCTCGATAAGAAATTAGTGGTGTTCGGGTTCAAGCTCGAAGCTCGGCGAGTTTTACAAATGAGGCTCGTGTTCGGCTCAATAGACGTTCGATGTTCGATCCGAGCGCTCGATAAGCTCGATAAATATGCTCGAATTTAAATTTTTAGGTGATGCTCGTTAATAAGCTCGTCCTCGAATGGTTCGACAAGTATTCGATTCTTTAATAATCATATTTAAATTCATAAAATAATACTAATTATATTTAAATTTTTAAATTATATTTATAATTTTAGGGTGTTCGATAGGCTCGAGTTCGAACCGAGCCGAATACTACTATGTTCGAGCTCGGCTCGATTAATTTTTCGAACTTAAAATTCAGCTCGGGTTCGTGTTCAAAAGCTCGTTAAGCTCGGCTCGTTAGGTTCAAAACCGAGCTTGAACTCGAATAGTTCGATAAAAGCTCGGTTCGTTCAGCCCTACTAATATTCATACCACATCAGAATGGGTACACTAGCTACAGGGCCGGCTAATGAATTTGAAGGGCCCGATTCCAAATGACAAATTGAGGCCTCCTAAGACAAGAAAAATACAAATTTTAACCTTGAAATAGAAATAATCTAGACAATTCAATGAAATATAATTTTTATGATGTTTAAAGTCCACTAATTAGAGAATTTAAAGGTTATATGTCTTTTAGAATCTTGAATATTACATAACATCTAAAAAATCAACCTATAACTAATAGTACACTCTAAATTTTTGGAGGCCCTGTACAAGAGTGGGGTCCGGTGCCAAGCACCTATTGCATCTCCTAAAAGATGACCCTGACTAGCTAGTAATCAAATACTTTTAAGTACTCACAACATCTATTTATATACTTCATCCGTTCTTAAATGAATGCAACGGTCAACATTTCACATTTGCCGAGGCACAACTTGACCGTTAATATATATAATTCCCTATTAATAAAAATTTTAAAAAATTAGATTTTGAAAATTTACAATGAGACAAATTTAACTATATTTTTCAAAAAAATTATATTAATACATTAATAAATAAAACGTAGTCAAAGTAGAACATGTGAATAGTGTAAAATTCAACATGCTGCATTTATTTAAGAACAAATGTAGTATAAGAAAACAAATAGTTCCTCAAAAGACAATTACACCCTTCATTAATCTTACTGCCGGTGGCTCCTTCTCTCCAAAGGAATTATTATTATTTTTTGTGACCAAAGCAAAACAACAACCCAACTCCTTCTCACCTACATTCATCACTATTCACCCCGTTTTTCTTCTTCTAATAATGATCATAATAATAATTCTAAGAGACGAAACCTATCATACTACATTACTATGTAATTCGTATCAGGACTCCACAAGTTTGCAATTTGTATATTCAAACTCTATAACGATTCAGCAACTACAAATTATTTTTTACTTAATTTTAGGATTTTCTATTAATTTTATCTCAATCAAATAAAGTCGCTTAATTTTTTAAAGTGTTATATCTTGTTTATTTGTACTCTGATCGTTACAACAAATAAGTAGACTAATAAATGGTGGAATTTCTCTCTCTCTGCTTTTAGCTATAAAATAAGCGGACTAATAATTGATCGAGAGAATTTCCTCTCCTGTGACCTTTTAAATGTATGTGAAGATATTTTTCTATAATTATCACATATGTCATGACAATCAATAAGTATTGTTGAGGGTAAGTCCCGTAGATCCGAAAGCCCAACACGAACTTTGGATATATCAGGAATGGCCCAGAATCAAGGTGTACGAGAAAATATAAGATCTGAACTAACTAAAACTCGAAAGCCCACTTGTATTAATTAACCAATCTGATTACAAGGGATTTCCCGATCGATAAGTCGGAAACTATGCCTTAATACAAGAAATAAGAGCAAATGATGCTATTCTAGAGCTTGAGTATTGAAATGCTAACCCTTACAATGACTTGAAACCTTCTATTTATACTAATGGAGAGCATGGGCTGCCTCTTGCTGATTGGCCGTTGTTCCACCGACTTGGTCATCCATGCTTCCACTTGCTGATGTCATAGTCTGGCCTTAACTGCACCTGGCCACTTGCTGGTTGGCCGTTGCTCGAACGGGATCTTGGTCCGTACTGAGGATGCTGTCAAATTGGCCCAAGTATAGTATATAGTCCGAACCTCGTTCGGTATGTCTTCTTATTGGGCCAACCTTTATTTGGGCCGAACCTCGTTCGGTATGTCCCCTTACTGGATCTTCTCATCATAGAGTGATGGGCCTGTTACTTGGGCCGGATACCTTGGGCCTTCCCGATCTGGGTATTGGGCCTCTAGGTCAATATCCCAACACAAGTCCCCCACTTCCGATGTCTCGAACGAAGTGAGTGCATCAGGAAGTATATCAATGTCATAATACCCCGAATGGCGATCGGGGTACAGAAGTAATCAGTTCCCCATGCTGTGATTTGACGGCTGCCGCTTCATTTCCCCATATTCATCATGATAACCGTCGTTTAGTCTTTTCATTAGACGCGTGTCTAGCTTAAATGCCCCTAGTGATGTGTCGCTCTCTGATTGGTTCTCAACACGGCGGTTTCAAGGCTATAAATTAGCCCTTAACTCCTCAATTCCGGGTTTCGACTCTGCAATTCCTTGGCCTTCGTTGTTTCTTCTGCAAATTTCCCCCTGCTTCCCTTGCTCAGGTAACTTCCCAACCTTGGATTTCCCATCTTCATTTCTGGCTTCGATCGAGATGAGCCCCACAGAGCATTCTTCTGATTCGGAGATGGCCTCTCATGGAGATGACCGTGACACCGCCATTGTAGATGCCATCCCAGTTCCGTTTGCCGGTGTTTCTACCGAGACGGCGACGAATACCAGGGCTGAGGCGGAGGACCTCCCTACACTAGTAGAAAAAGGCCTTATAGTGACACTAATTTAGTGTCAGTGAAAGTTTCTATAACACTAAAAAAGTGTCGGGGAAAGTGGCGGCTAGTGACACTAAATATAGTGTCACTAATTGTAAAACAAAAGAGTGTCAGTAAATTATGACACATTAATGTGATGCAACATTATGACACATTGATATCATAAAACGTTGTGACACCTTGGTATCATAAAAATTAACAACACAATGATGTCATATAATTACAATAATATTATTATTATAATCATTGTGTTATTTCGTTCTAGTTTTATTATAGATTATATACATATTAATAAATAGCCAAAACAAAGAACAATTTGTATTTATTACTCAAATTATTTTACAATGTCAATATCAATAAAGTACTTCACAAGTAGTGTATTACAAGATGCTATAAATCTACACTCTAATCATACAACATTTTTAATTTATATGCTACACACTAGACATCATAATTCCTTGCATCGTCATCGTACTCCAATAAAGCAAGTCTTCAGAGTACTTCTCAATATTTCGTTCAACAGAGCCTGCATGATTTTTTAACTTTGCAATACTATAAGTAGCAAAAATTAATAAAATAAAGCTACCACTAATACTCTATAGCATCAATTTGGTGTTAATACTCTACCCAAGCTGCTATTTTTGGACTTGAGCTGCTCAACAAAAACTCTTTGGGTGAAAATCAAATCACTAATCAGATATGCAAGAGAGCTAAACAAGATATAGATCAAACCAATGTTTTTTGGACATGAGAAATAACTACAAAGTACATCATATCTACAAGGAACAACAAGCAATGAATTTAACCCTTTATTCACCAGTAACAGGCCAATATAAGTACTTCAATGATATAAAATTTCAAATTATAGTCTACCAAAATGTGGGCTCACTCATCAACCAGATAGACTCTCAACAATCTAGGAAATGGCTGAATATGTTCCAAAGGCTGATGATATCACACCTACTCCCAT